ACAGTGACCATGTCATTCTGTTACAGCCCATAATCAAATTATATCTAGCTCGTTTATATGTAGCTTGTTAAATTATATGTAAGTTAGCTCATTTAACTGAACATAAATCAATCACAGACACTCTGCTTAAGATGTTGATTCACGCCTTCCTTTAACTATAATTTTGACCCATACAATGTATTTTTGGCTATTGCTACAAATATACCTGTGCTACTTAAGACTGGTTTTGTGGTCCAGGGTCACAAATAAGATTACTGTATTGTGAATTACTTGCTAATTGTTAATTGCATTTTACATGTTTTATATTAAAGAAGAAAAAAAAACTACAGCTGGCATTTCAGCCAATGTGTTCATATAAGGCAATTTTCTGGTCTTTTCTTCAAAAATAAATAAATGTTTTAAAACTCACAGAATGTTGTTTTCTCTTTCTGTTGTGACTACTGTTATGAAAAACTTATAATATTTTTAATTTTGTAAATCTAAGAGTACGGAATGAAAAGCAGGTATTCCCTGTAAATAACAAAGTCTAATACTGTAAAAATAATTTATATAACAGTATAATACTGTATTTAGTAATTACAGTACAGACCTGTAAATATTGTTTACAGTAGTAGTCCTGTAAAAATACAGTATGTGGTAATAATAATAATAATAATAATATAAAAATGTATTCATATCACTGTTCTTTTAAAAGTTTTTATGCACAGTAAATCTCATATCTTGTTAAATCAGCTGTATGTAATACTTATATTCTGTGATACTGCTGTATGGCTCCTGTGGCGATGGCAGCAAAACACGCTAACAGTTACAGCCATCAGTAGAACAACAACAGCAGCACATATTCCTGCTATTTTACCTGGAGACAGACCTGAACCTGGAACAGATAAAAGCAGACTACTAGACATTGAAATAATAATACATCTGATTTTTCTTAATATTTCTAACTGATATTAACATCTTTATACTTTGATTATCAGTTGTATAATATTGATTGAAGTAATAATAACAGCAGCTAAAATCGCATCAGCACTGTGAGCTCAGAACGAGACATCAGGAAAACTAACATAATTTAGTTCGCTTTTTTAACGGTCCAAAACCAAACACTCATGGGGTTGATTTTAAAATGTTGAACTACTTTTAAAAATGAAAAGGAAAACACATTGAATGGCTGAATTATATACTCACCAGTCACAGTAAAACTGAAGCTCTTTATCCTCTTAAAACTGAAGCTGCTGCTGCTGATGATGATTCTCAGTTCATAATCTCCAGAGTCTGTGGTTCTGGTGTTTGTGATGGTCAAAGATCCAGTCTGATGATCCAGCTTCAGTCTGTCTCTGAAAATCTCATCACACAGTTCATCTGTACAGATCTCACTCTGATCTCCAGTGATTTCAGCAAGGAGAATGTCATTAAAATGCCACGTCCTCACATCATTTGGGCGTTTAATTACACCAGGATCTAAAGTGACAGATTCTCCCTCCTTCACTGACTTTATTTCATCTCGTTCAGCAGCAGAAACACCTGAAACACAAACCAACAGTTGCTGAAGGACCTTTTTGTGGTAACATAAGGTACACAATGTTTTTCTTGACTTTTGAACTGAAAAAAAACATTTAATGCATGGTGTGTGCATATAATCACATTTCACATATTTTCTATCAAATTCTCAATTTTAAAATATTAACAGAAGCTGATCAGAGATGGAGTGATTTCACAATGTCAACTCCATCTGAGCTCATCTGCAGCTTCTTATAAAAGACAAAACTGTTAAAACAGTTTACCAATATAAATGATTTAGTTTTAAGTCATAATGAACTGTTTAATGGTGTGAAGTGACATGATTCTACAAGCGTTGCACAGTAAAGAGACTATCTATACTGTAAGTGAATTAATATACAGGTAAAGAAAATAACTAAATATTGAAAAAAAAAAGACATTAGCAATGTGCTGTAAAAATATATAGCTAAACTGCATTTAAACATTCATTAAATGACTCACTGTAAAAAGTAACATTGAAGATTGTTTCACTGTCACTGCTGCTGAAGATCTGTAGTTTATAATCTCCAGAGTCTGTGGTTCTGGTGTTTGTGATGGTCAGAGATCCAGTCTGATGATCCAGCTTCAGTCTGTCTCTGAATCTCTCTGTACCTTCATTACACTGAACATCTGTACAGTTCTTACTCTGATCTCCACTGATGTGAGCAACGAGAAATCCACTGAAATACCATTTAATATCATCTTGTTGGTTTGTTTTAACACCAGTGTTTAGAGTGACTGAATCTCCCTCCATCACTGACACTGACACTCTGTCTGTATCAACACCAGAAACACCTGAAGAAAAAATATAAACCAAACAAAAATATACAACAGTGCTGTGAAAATTTTCTATATTCCATGAAGATTTTGAGTAAAGAAACATGTCTATAGTAATGACTCAGTTTGGTACTATATACCCAATGAATGCCATATTTTATAGGCAAGGCAGTATCGATTTCGCTCTCTAATTTTCACCAAGCTTTACTTGCTTGGAAACTGTGTTATATACACAACTTTTCTCCCGACACAGAAATTATTTGGAATAATTCTAATATTTTAATCAGTGGTAAATCCCTTTTTACGGACAAGTGGTATGATAGAGGTATTGTTTTTGCTTTGGATTTATTTAAAAGTGATGGTATATACTAGTGTATGAATAAGTTATAACTTTGTATAATTTTCCTCTGCCAGCTAAAACTTTAAATTCTGTTGTCAAAGTTTTCTCTTCAAGTTATGTGCATTTATTTAAAACATACCTTTGCTTTAATGAGAGAACGACAATTATGCCCAAACTTTCATTGGATGGAGTTTGTCTTCTTGATAAAAATGTAACAGCCATCATATAATGGTAGTGTTGCATTATTCAGTATATAGGTGTCACAGCTTCACACTGTTTGGACTTTGTTTTCAGTTTGCACCGTTTTCACTGTTGAGTTGTCATGGTTTCTGATTTGAGTTCTTCATTAGGTTCAGGTGTGTCTTGTTAATTATCCTTGTTTGATCGTGTATTTAGTTCCTGTTTGTTCAGTTTGAGTTTGTCCAGTCTTACGTCTAAGTTTGATGTGTTGTTGCTGTTCTCTGTATTTGGATTTACCTTCTGTGGATTTATTAAAGACTGCCTATACCTTCACCATTGTGTTCGTGTGTGCTACAACATGGTTCTGTGATAATACGTCCCCTAGATGTCATTGTTTTTTGGAATATATGTATTTTTTTATAGTATTCAATGGAAGAAAGCATGATTACTTCCTGAAAAATTTTCCATTTCTAACACAATAAGAGAGGTACACTTTAAGAGTCTACATAATGTGTATCTAACCAACTCCCAAATTGCCTTTTTTTTATCTCAAACTTTGCTTCATTTATTCTACCATTGTATTCAGGTCAAATCTCTTTGGGAAGACTTCAGTTGTTATTTATCTTCTTTTATAAAATATGATTTAAAATTTTGCTTGACAGATATAGTGTTTTATTTTTCTGGCAGTCACTATGCTGCTGATTTTGTCAATTTCTTTGTTGCATTGCACATTTTTTATTCACAAAAATAAATAAATACATAAATACTTGATTGATTTTGCCTAGATCTGATGTCTCTCTTGCTGAGATTTCTCTCATTGTAACTTACCAGTCTGTGTCAGACTGGTCATGGCGGCGGTGTTGCAACAATATATAGTGATATTCTCAATGTTACTCAGAAGACAGGATACAGGTTTAACTCATTCGAAATACTTCTGCTTAATGTTACACTGTCAGATATGCAAAAGAAATCTATCGTATCTCTTGCTCTGGCTACTGTGTATAGACCACCAGGACCATATACAGATTTCCTAAAAGAATTAGCAGATTTCCTCTCAGAACTATTGGTTACTGTTGATAAAGCGCTAATTGTCGGAGATTAGATCCAGTCTGATGATCCAGCTTCAGTCTGTCTCTGAAAATCTCATCACACAGTTCATCTGTACAGATCTCACTCTGATCTCCAGTGATTTCAGCAAGGAGAATGTCATTAAAATGCCACGTCCTCACATCATTTGGGCGTTTAATTACACCAGGATCTAAAGTGACAGATTCTCCCTCCTTCACTGACTTTATTTCATCTCGTTCAGCAGCAGAAACACCTGAAACACAAACCAACAGTTGCTGAAGGACCTTTTTGTGGTAACATAAGGTACACAATGTTTTTCTTGACTTTTGAACTGAAAAAAAACATTTAATGCATGGTGTGTGCATATAATCACATTTCACATATTTTCTATCAAATTCTCAATTTTAAAATATTAACAGAAGCTGATCAGAGATGGAGTGATTTCACAATGTCAACTCCATCTGAGCTCATCTGCAGCTTCTTATAAAAGACAAAACTGTTAAAACAGTTTACCAATATAAATGATTTAGTTTTAAGTCATAATGAACTGTTTAATGGTGTGAAGTGACATGATTCTACAAGCGTTGCACAGTAAAGAGACTATCTATACTGTAAGTGAATTAATATACAGGTAAAGAAAATAACTAAATATTGAAAAAAAAAAGACATTAGCAATGTGCTGTAAAAATATATAGCTAAACTGCATTTAAACATTCATTAAATGACTCACTGTAAAAAGTAACATTGAAGATTGTTTCACTGTCACTGCTGCTGAAGATCTGTAGTTTATAATCTCCAGAGTCTGTGGTTCTGGTGTTTGTGATGGTCAGAGATCCAGTCTGATGATCCAGCTTCAGTCTGTCTCTGAATCTCTCTGTACCTTCATTACACTGAACATCTGTACAGTTCTTACTCTGATCTCCACTGATGTGAGCAACGAGAAATCCACTGAAATACCATTTAATATCATCTTGTTGGTTTGTTTTAACACCAGTGTTTAGAGTGACTGAATCTCCCTCCATCACTGACACTGACACTCTGTCTGTATCAACACCAGAAACACCTGAAGAAAAAATATAAACCAAACAAAAATATACAACAGTGCTGTGAAAATTTTCTATATTCCATGAAGATTTTGAGTAAAGAAACATGTCTATAGTAATGACTCAGTTTGGTACTATATACCCAATGAATGCCATATTTTATAGGCAAGGCAGTATCGATTTCGCTCTCTAATTTTCACCAAGCTTTACTTGCTTGGAAACTGTGTTATATACACAACTTTTCTCCCGACACAGAAATTATTTGGAATAATTCTAATATTTTAATCAGTGGTAAATCCCTTTTTACGGACAAGTGGTATGATAGAGGTATTGTTTTTGCTTTGGATTTATTTAAAAGTGATGGTATATACTAGTGTATGAATAAGTTATAACTTTGTATAATTTTCCTCTGCCAGCTAAAACTTTAAATTCTGTTGTCAAAGTTTTCTCTTCAAGTTATGTGCATTTATTTAAAACATACCTTTGCTTTAATGAGAGAACGACAATTATGCCCAAACTTTCATTGGATGGAGTTTGTCTTCTTGATAAAAATGTAACAGCCATCATATAATGGTAGTGTTGCATTATTCAGTATATAGGTGTCACAGCTTCACACTGTTTGGACTTTGTTTTCAGTTTGCACCGTTTTCACTGTTGAGTTGTCATGGTTTCTGATTTGAGTTCTTCATTAGGTTCAGGTGTGTCTTGTTAATTATCCTTGTTTGATCGTGTATTTAGTTCCTGTTTGTTCAGTTTGAGTTTGTCCAGTCTTACGTCTAAGTTTGATGTGTTGTTGCTGTTCTCTGTATTTGGATTTACCTTCTGTGGATTTATTAAAGACTGCCTATACCTTCACCATTGTGTTCGTGTGTGCTACAACATGGTTCTGTGATAATACGTCCCCTAGATGTCATTGTTTTTTGGAATATATGTATTTTTTTATAGTATTCAATGGAAGAAAGCATGATTACTTCCTGAAAAATTTTCCATTTCTAACACAATAAGAGAGGTACACTTTAAGAGTCTACATAATGTGTATCTAACCAACTCCCAAATTGCCTTTTTTTTATCTCAAACTTTGCTTCATTTATTCTACCATTGTATTCAGGTCAAATCTCTTTGGGAAGACTTCAGTTGTTATTTATCTTCTTTTATAAAATATGATTTAAAATTTTGCTTGACAGATATAGTGTTTTATTTTTCTGGCAGTCACTATGCTGCTGATTTTGTCAATTTCTTTGTTGCATTGCACATGTGTCACGGTGCGTGTGGAGAGATGAAGCGAGGACTCAAGTGCAGGATGAATGGTTATTTCTTTTAATAATAAAATGAAACAAAAACAAACTCAAACAACCCCGAGGCGGAAAAACAGACAGGCAGGCTAGAAACTGCACTACATGCAGACATAACACACACAATGAAAAACGACGGATCAGCACAGGATTACAGACACCAGGAGAATAAATAGGAAACCAAATGAGGAGGCTAATGAGGGAGACACAGGTGGAGCAACTTAAACAATAATGAGGTAACAAGATGAGCGGCCAGTTGACGAATTACAGTTTAAGTCACTTCCGTGTTGGCCTCATGAGAGAGAGCGGGAGGTTGCCGCTTGGTAAATCATTTATAAATCCACGCAAACACAGGAGAATACGTCATTATCTCACGGTTTCAAAATAAAAGTTCTAACCCTCACTCTGAGTTTACACGTTTTGATGTCCACATATTAATTTATTTACAGTGGCTATAGCATTTCTGTCCTAAAGAAATGGCCAAATATTAAAGATTAAGTGGACATTTGAATGAAATGGTGCTTGGTCAACAAGTAATAGATCGCAAATGTGTAAAAATAATCATCAGGCCGTTGGCGCCCCCTGCAGGCCTTTGTTGTAATGCGTAATGTACATTAGCTCTATTGTTTATAATACATTATGTATTTTAACAGTTTTGTTCAATAAAACCATATGATTTCTTGCTTTTGATACTTTATTTGAACTAATTATTATTGCTTCGTTGCTATTATATATGTATTTTAAGTAATTTTAAAGGCTATAGACTTAATCGGTGTCGCGTCATAGCTGTGTGGGCGGAGTCGGAGTGGGGGAAAACAGTCCTTTCCCCCTCACTGGAAAAGCATGGTGTTGACTCAGAATTGCCTACATAAAATCATTTCTGCCGCTCGACAGAGCAACATATGTATAAAAACTGAGCCGTATTGGGTCGGACTGTCCGTATGGTATCTGTGACTGGATAAACGACCCAACGGAATGGCCAGAGGTGTCGTTTCACAACATTTTTTGTTACCTAATTGAGCAAGAGACAAGCCTATAGGCTACGAGATGGCTTGTGAAAGTAAACATTTGTCGTTTTGTTTTGCTTAATTTTAATAAAGTGATAAAGACTTGAGTAAAAGCCTGTAGTACTTTCTTATTTATATATTTAAAAAGTTTTTATCATTGACAAAACAGGTAACATTAAGGTCCACTGATGTGCCTTGAAATGCGCAGCGTTATTCTATGTTGTGTGTGCTGCGGCTGCCTAATCATTTTCACAAATGCATGCCGTAAAATAAAGATGACATGAAAATATGTATATAAAATATTTAAAAAAACATGGTTATTGGTTACTATAGTTAAACCATGGTAAAAACAACATGTTTTGCTACACTAACCATAGTTTAACCATGGTATTTGTAGTAAAACTGTGGTTACCGTTATAGGCTACAATTGGTAATAAAAAAGCAAAAAAAATAAAAATAAAACATGGTTAGCCTACTATACTTTTACTACAGTAATATCTACTGTTATCTATATATTCTATAGTAATATCTAATATTACTAATTTTCATAAGGGATTAAAAATTCGCTAAAATTCATAAGGGATTGTGTATAATAATATGAAATAAATGTTTTAATAGATTATGACATCACAAAATATCTGGGAGTGAGATTTATTTAATTGTGATGCGAAGGAGGGTTACTGTAAGCCCGATCAGAACTGTGTTGGGGTGCAGGGGGATGGGACTAATGACAGATCATTGCAGGGTAAGTGTAGCCTTTCTGTGCTACCCACTCAGTGCTACCTCTGGTAGTCCGTTTATCAGTCATATACATCTTCAGATCAGGTTGTTTAACTTATTAGAGGTACAGAACGCCACACAGCAACGTTTCGGCATTGAACCAAGCAAAAATCAATCAAAATCATCACAAAAAGTTGATCAAGCACCTAACAAGGTCTTCGTGCGTTAATTTGAATGGTTTGTTTTTCCCCACGGCATAAACGGTTACGACGTTTTTGTGGGCGTTCCCAGCAATGCAGAACAAGTCTATTGTTCACTTACATCTATTTTTATTACCACAAAAAATGTACTATAATTATAGGGCACTATGAAATACGTTTTATTTCCAAATTCAGTTTTTTCCATTTTAATTTTTCTATACTCTGTTTTAATGGTAAAATTAAATTGTATTAATCAAAAAAATAACCGGATGACCTATACTATAATTGCCAGAATCTGCTAAATATAACTCGGGTACCCTGAAATCAGTACAGAAGCTTTGTTCTGAATGGCATACTACCATACAACTCCTACTATATTGCAGTATGATGTGTATACTGTGAATAGTATGTGAATTTTCTGTATGCATGGAATGCCCAGATTGCATACTACATTTGCTGAAATTTGATGTATGCATCTGAAGACACTGCATGGGATGCTGTTTCCCAGAATGCAACGTGCTCCATGTGACGTTTCATCTTCAAACACGTGAGTCAACTGAAGGCGGGGAATAGTAATTATAAATGTAACACTTATATATATACATACATGTATATACATATACAGTGCCTTGCAAAAGTATTCATACCCCTTAATTTTTTCCCACGTTTTGTTATGTTGCTACCTTATGTTAAACTGCTTTAAATTACTTTTTTTCCACATCAGTCTACACTCCATACACCATAATTGTAAAGCAAAAACAGGTTTTGAACATCTTTGCAAATTTATTAAAAATAAAACACTAAAATGATTCCATTGCATAAGTATTCTGGGACAGCTGAAATTTAGCTCAGGAGCATTCATATTGCTTGTAGATGTTA